TGTTAGTCTGAAAATTTGACTCAAATTAAGTCAAAACTTTCTGTCAGTGGAGTAAGAAMATTTTACTTGGTAAGATTCTTGAAATACTTGATTTGACTCATTTTTTCTTATTTCAAGAATCTTACCAAGTAAAATTTTCTTACTCCATTGGCAGAAAGTTTTGATTTAATTTGAGTCAAATTTTCAGACTAACACGACAATCTTACTCAATCTGAAAACAAATTATTCTTACACAATCAGTTCTTGTTTAGTAAATCAGTCTCAAAACAAGATCAAAAAGACATTTTGGCTGATATAAGGTTTAAAAGCTTGGTAAGGTGGACAGTTTTTGCAGTGTATATCCAAAGTAACTAGTCTGTGCCGTAGACTCGTGTAAACAATGATAAACTTGTTAAACTCCACGGTTTAGTGTCATTTTGTCAAAGATCACTCAGAGTTGTGTTTTCGCTCATCATGTCTTTATTGCATGAACAGGTGTGGTAAGACAGGTGAACACTTCATGTGAGCAGCTCAGTAATACTGCTGCTGAGACATTTGAGAGAAGACTTTGTCCCAGAGCTCCACCTTCATGATGGCCCGGCCCATGGGGCACATGGTGGCCTTGATGTCCAGGTACCGGCCCTCGAAGGTGAGGCCGCAGCCGTTCGCCTCCTGCCGCTTGAAGCCCTGCTGCACCTTGTTGTAGTACATCTCCTTGAACAGGGCCTCGTTGCACGCCCTGCCCTCCTCGTAGATCCCCAGGGCCAGCCAGTTCTTGTACATGTTGTAGTCGTACGGCACCGAGAACATGACGGCCGCCGTCTGCTTGGCGCTGTTGCTCTGCCTCTCGAACAGGTCGTAGGTCAGGACGCCCACCGCCCCCGTGGCCTTGCCGCTCTTCTTGCTGAAGATGCAGACCTCGGTCTTCAGCGGGCGGATGGTGGGCTGGGGAGGGCTGGTGACGCTGCCGCTGTCCAGGTAAACTCTTCAAGCAAAGAGGGGGAAAACAAAACTTACAGCCGACCTCTGCCAGGTCAAAGAAACTAAGCATGCCCTCGTGTCGCGCTCACCTGGGGTTAACGAGGCAGATGTTGTTGGTCAGGTTGGTGATCTCGACGGCGACATGTCGGCTGCTTTTCAGGATTGCAGCCACAGCCTCTGCTGATTCACTCATTTCTGTTTTTAAAGGTTTCTCTGCGGGTCGGACGGATCAGAGGTGCGTCGCTCGCTCCTGTTCTGCCAGACTGGAAGCTCCAGTCTCCAACCTTCAGGTGAGACCTGTGGGGAATGTGAGACGCCCAGCGTGGTCCCCACCCACTTCCCTCCCATCACGCCCCTTCTTAAAGGGATCCATGATTAGTTGTAACATCAGACTTTATTTGATAAACATTTATTTTAACTGTAAAATAAAGACTGGAAAAATACTGTAG